ATTTGATAAAAATTCTAATAATCATACATAATTAACATATGCCATACAACAATTGATTTGTATGGATATTCAGTACATCCAACATAGTTTACATCGTGTACAGAACAATTACGGCAATACATCGGCGGTGACGGTTGACCGCACGTACTTTCTCCTTACTATTGTTCCTTCCTTGTGATCGTTACGTGAGTAAGGGGTGTCTTCATTTGATAGGAGGATGCTAGGGTCAATCGTCACCGTGAAAGGGGGTTGCCCATCAAACTGATCGTAATCCTCGTCAGTCTTGTCCTCCACTCCGATGATTTTTCTTTTTTCCTGGGAGAACCACGTGGCGCTTCGGCTCGTCAGGCCCTTTGCCCTTTTTTCCTTTACTAGACATGTCCTTGACGTAAAAAACTTGGGTTACATCATTGGCAAGGACAAAAGGTTCATCCGAGTATCCAACCTTGTTAAGGTCAACCGTTGTCATCCTACTGTCATCAATCGTTACGCCTCCACCACTCAACCTAGCCCATTGGCACCGGAATAGAGGGACCTTGAGAGGTCCATGGTCAAGTTCCCATATGTCCTCGATGGCACCGTAATACGTGCCAGTTGTACCATCGTGTCCCATGGCATCGATACGAACAACACTGTTCTAGTCCGTGCTCTTCATGTCTTGGGCCCTCGTGTAGAATGTGGACCCATTGATTTCATATCCCTGGAAAGTAGCGATCGAGCCAGATGGTCCCGTCGCCAGGAAGGCCAGTTGTTGGTTAATCGTCTCGTTACCCATGAGATGTTGTCGCAGCCACGTGGAGAAAGTATCAATGTGATGCCTTGTAATCCATGCATCAGACTTACCGATGTTTCTGGCGCGAACTAGAGCCAAGTACTCCTCGATGTAGGGAGCCACCAATGAAGATTGTTGCAGAACCGTGAAATGGGCTTTACGGAATAAATTGTTGTCTACCGTCATTATTGTTTTCCTTCCGAGAGTCCCCTTTCCCCGTAGTCTCCCTTCATGGCGTGATTCAAGTACCCCAATTGGGCGAAGGTCTTCGATAAATTCTACGCGGAATTCAATGACCTCCTCTGTTCCATACCCCTTGGCGATGCTTGCCTCTGGACGAGCACGGTTACGAACATACTTCTTTAGAACGCCCATGTACCTCTCGAAAGGAAACATGTTGTGTAGGTACACAGGACCGAGAATACCGATCTCTTTGACAAGGTGACAAAGCAGATGCGTCATTATATTGAAAAATGAAGGTGGAAATATCAACTCAAAGCTGACAAGACATTGCACCACATCATTCTGCAGGGCTTCTAATCTATCAGGATCGATGACCTTCTGCGAAATTGCGTTCATGAAAGCACATAGCTTTGTTATTGTTGCCTGGACATTGTCTGGGAGGATACCCCTTATTACAACTGGTAGCAGCTGTGTCATCAACACGTGACAGTCATAAGACTTTAGATTTGTGAACTTCTTCTCCTTCGTGCTTATTATTCGCTTTATATTCGTGGAGTATCCAGACGGTATCTTGATGCTCTCCAAGCATTCAAACATACTTTCCTTCTCTGCCTTGCTAATAGTGTAGCTGGCTGGACTCAAGTAATGGCTTCCTTTCTCCTTTGGTTCCGGGTGAAGGTCACCGCGTTGTTCCATATGCTTCAGATCATTACGTGCTTCCAGTGTATCTTTCGACTTTCCATATACACTTAGGAAGCCAAGAAGGTTTACGAAAAGATTCTTAGTGAGGTGCATCACGTCGATTGCGTGGCGGACGTCCAAGAATTCCCAATAGGGTAACTCCTAAAATATAGAGTTCTTTTTCCACATCGCCGCGTGACCATCTTCGCTCTCTATAGGCTGGCTGCCAGGCCCCTTTCCAAACACTACTTTAAGATCTTTAACCATAGCAATCACTGTTTTCCCGCTGCGATGTTTAGGCTTCGTACGGTGGTCTGCCTTATGTTCAAAGTGCTTGCCTTTCTTCCGTACCGGGTGGTTTGCTACAAGGAATCGACGATGACCCATGTACACAACCTTCCTACAGTGCTTAAGATATGTACTTTCTGTTTCATCCATACAGTGAGTGCAAGCCTTATACCCCTTGTTGGACTGCCCGGATAGGTTGCTAAGTGCAGGCCAATCATTGATGGTTATGAACAGCAGCGCTCGTAGGTTAAACTCCTCCTGTTTGTCCTCATCCCACACGGGGACACCTTCCTTCTTCCACAACAGTTTAAGATCATCGACAATGGTCTTAGGTACACATCGATGTCGTTACTAGGTTGCTTGGGGCCTTGAATTATAATCGGCATCATTATGTACTTCCTCTTCGTGCATAGCCACGGGGGTAGGTTGTAGATACACATTGTAACGGGCCAAGTGCTATGGCCGCTGCTCATCTCTCCAAAAGGATTCATGCCATCCGTACTTAAACCAAACCGTATGTTTCGTGCGTCCTTTCCAAAGTCTTTAAATTTTCTGTCGATGTTTCGCCACTGCGAACCATCGGCGGGGTGTCTCAGCATCCCGTCCTGTTGACGCTCTTCAGCGTGCCATCGCATCATTCTAGCATTCCACTTGTTCCTGAACAAACGCCTTAGCCGTGGTATTATAGGGAAATACCACATCACCTTAGCAGGAATTCTCTTCTTCGTTAGCTGCCCGTCATCTTCTCCTGGATCATCTCGTCTAATCTTGTATCGTAGTGCTTTGCAAACAGGGCATGCTTCTAGGTTCTCGTACTCCTCACCGCGATATAGGATACAATCATTCGGACATGCGTGAATCTTCTGAACTTCTAGTCCTATAGGGCAGACTATCTTCTTAGCCTCGTACGTTGTCTCGGGCAATTTGTTTCCCTCCGGAAGAATGTTCTTGACGAGTTTCAATAAATCGCCAAATGCCTTGTCACTAACACCATTTTTTTGCCTTCCATTGCAAGAACTCCAGAGTGGTATCCAACTTTTTGTGCGCCTGCTCGCAACCTGGGTACAACGACGTTCTGTGGTCCTCTAACATCTTGTCCAATTTATGGGCCCTCTTTTCACTTTCGCAATCCTCCTTGGCGTCCTGCAACATCTGACCAAGATCATCCGCAACGTTGTTACCATCAGCATCCCTTTCCTCCTCGCCCGTTTGATTTCCTTCAAATCCAGCGTACTGAGCAAAGTCTAGAATATTGTCGTCTTCCACTTCATCTTCTTCCATTTCAACACCTTGCTCTCCGTGGGATGTTCAACAATTATAGCTTGGCATGAACCCCGACTCAAACAAGTGGAAATGAATAATCCTGGATGCAGAATACTCCTTCTGATTCTTACACTTATTGCATGGACAACAAATAAAACCCTTTTGCCTGTTAGCTTCGGTCACTCTCAAAAAATAATGCACGCCGTCAATAAACTCTTTGGACCGCTGGTCAGCGTACATCTATCTACATGACATGAAAAAAAATCGTACACACATAATTATTCGTACAATAATGAAAGTCATACAATAATTATAAAATAATTATAAACTCTTTCAACAGTCACACAAATAATGACATATCATTATTCATACACAAATTATGAAATATTACACCAAATAATTATATATTTACTATTTATAAAGTTTAAAACTAATATTAATGTGTTGTACTTATTTTAATTTTTCGTTTTAGTTTGTTTTCTATTATTGAAGATTAACTTTCACTATATTTTCCTTCTCAACTATTTTATAAAACCTTCTTTAGCAAATAAACTAAATTTCTATATATTCTTTCTTCCCCCACACAAATTTTCTCTCTCATCAACTAACAACAAAATTTTAGAGACAAAAAAGTGTGCAAAACATAGCTCCAAATGTAATATGAAAAAAAAAACATTGGAGGATGAAGTTGCTAACCTTTTATGCACCTTCGATTTGTATATAATCACCAAAATAAATTCACTAGAAATTTTGGCATGACCTCCCCTCTTTTTTTGAAGAAATTTTGAAGCTTGCTCGGGCTAGAGAAGGAAGAAGACATATATATAGGGGTGGGACTTTAGGAGTGGGACTTTAGTCCTGGTTGGTGTTATGAACCGGGGCTAAAGATCGCCGGGATCTTTAGTCCCGGTTGGTAAGTTACGATCTTTACCAACCGGGACTAAAGATCTGGGGGGGCCTGCCAAGACCTGACAGCATTTGAACCGGGACAAAAGATGATCTTTAGTCCCGGTTGTTGCAACCGGGACTATTGTGGAATTAGTCCGACCAACGAAAGATGGTTTCTCCACCAGTGTTAACTCTTGATTATTATTTCAATTATGATGGCATGTGCAGGTGAAATTGAATTGTTTCTCTATCTGCTATTGACCTTTTCGTTAGGATGCTCAATGATGGTCTGGACGGAAGACGCAAGAACTGGATTGTGATGATTGAAGATATTAATGCGGAAGAACAAGATATTAATGCGGAAGAACAGTGAGTGAAAGGGTTAATCAACAAATAAAAAGATGCTACATCTGTTCCATAATAGTAGTAATATATTTTTATCCCACTGTTTTTTAGTCATCATTATATTATATCGAAATTTATAAAAGTAGAGGGTAAATGCATTGAAAGTAGATAAAGAAAAATAACTGCATTGGAGTTTGATAAAGTATAGATATTATATATTTTTTATTTTATATTGGTATGTGGGATGAATGAAAAAAATGAACGTATTTGGGAAGTAAAACTTTGTATATGTTGATCAACGGTTTGCATGTTTAGTATATAAAAAAATCAATTTGAATCACATCTCAAAGTGCTACCATATCATGTCAGTTTCATCACTATTAAGCATATATTTTATGATAAATAAATTGTGGTTTAGATTTTTTTGGCAATTTCTTAATTGACTCGAAGCCCCAAAAAATATGCAAAGTGAAATAAATAGTCGTAGTTATATTGAAAATAGTAGTTAAGATGATTGAAATATACATTTCATTATGAAAATGGATAAAAGGAGAAAAAATAACCTTTTTCTCGGATTTGGCCTTTTAAATCATAAAAGTGCATATGGACATTACAAGTTATTGCAGATATCTAGCTAGAACAAAAGACATGCATGACATCGGTAATATGGAGCACCAACTAACGTGTGGGACGCTAAAACTAGTGACGAATGCCTGCAGGTTGGGGGTATAGTGGCCTTGTAGTGAGCTATTTGGCCATTCTTGTGAGTCGATATCGCACGTCATTGTAAAGTTGTTCATTGATGCTTCTCATCTACGAAGAAAATAAGAGAAAAGAAAAATAAAGTGCTAGTTGTGCAGCCTCATTGGAAAAAGGATAGATAAAGTGATGGAAGTCTATCTATTATGTTATCCACTGCTTGTCTACTTGGCTCGATGACATGGGCAAGAATTATATACAGCTAATTTATATATTTTTCATGTGCCCTTATTTAGCCCTAACAATGTATCTCACTGAAGCTAGCTCAAGCTAAAGCTAGTGGATTACCAATTGCCTAAGCTCTCGTCCTGGAATTGTTTAAAGATTCATCCATTTCTAACTTTGGAAAAAGTACGAATTACCCCCGGAACTATCGCGGTTATCCGAGTTACCCCCTGAACCCAAAAACTAGACATTATTCACCCTCAACTTTCAACACCGGATAAATTACCCCCCTCAACCCAATCCAGACCGGTTTTGTCCTACGTGGCGTACACGTGGTAGTCCAGTCAGCATTTTATTTATTAAAAATATGGGACCCACCTGTCATACTCCCCTCCCTCTCTCTCTCTCCTCTCTCTCCTCTCACACTCTTCCTCTCGCTTTCTCGCCGGTCGGCGCGACTCGGCGGCAGGCTGGGGACGCAGCGACGACGGCGGGGGACGAGGAGGCGGCGGCGGCCACGGCCACGACGAGCAGCCGCCCCTCGGTGCGGGGATGGATGGAGGCGGGTGTGGGCGGCGGCTCGGGACGCGGAGACGGAGGCGGCGGCGGCCACGACGAGCAGCCACCCCCTCGGCGCGGAACCCCTCGTCTTCCACGTCGCCGCCTCCTCCTCCCTCGCCGACGTGGCCGCCGCCGCTGCCACCACCACCACCACTCCCCACCTCGCCGCGTGCCCTCGTGACCTCCTCCTTGATCCCCCGCCTATTTATACTCGTCTCGTCACCCGCCTCATCATCAACAGCAGCAGCATCAAAAGAAGAAAAAGAAAAAAGAGTGATCTAACTAGCTCGCCTGAGTTCATCTGCTATGTAATTTGAGTTATTAGCAACAATGGCGGCTGCTACCATGGCGCTGAGCTCCTCCTTCGCCGCTGCCGCCGCTGGTGGCGCGCCATGGCGTGGTGTCGTCGGCGCCGGCCGCGCCGCGGTTGGCTTCCCGCCTCGCCGGCGTGCTGTCGCGCTCGTCGTTAGGGCCCAAACCGAGGTTAGCTGAGCGTTCTTGATTGGTTTCACTGTGCGTGTTCTGGTGATTTGCTTCGTGTGCTAACTTGGGGCGACTTCGTCATCGTCGTTCGATCGATCTACAGCCGGATGTGGAGCCGACGAAGGAGGAGACGACCACATCGTCGACCCCGACCCCGACTCCGAGCCCCGCGGCGGCGGCGCCCAAGGCGAAGCCGGCGGCGAGCACGGGGCTGTGGGACGTGCTGGCGTTCAGCGGGCCGGCGCCGGAGCCGATCAACGGGCGGCTGGCGATGGTGGGGTTCGTGTCGGCGCTCGCCGTGGAGGCGTCGCGCAGCGGCGAGCTCCTGGAGGAGGCCAGCAGCGGGGGCGGGCTCGCGTGGTTCGCCGCTACCGCCGCCGTTCGTCCATCCCGCCCGCCGCGCCGCCGCTTCCGCGTCCCCCGCCGCCGCTGCCTCTGTCCGACTCCGCGCGCGAGGGGGCGGCTGCTCGTCGTGGCCGCCGCCGCCGCCTCCGTCTCTGCGTCCCGCGCCGCCGCCCGCAACCGCCTCCATCTGTCCCCGCGCCGAGGGGTGCCTGCTCGTCGTGGCCGCGGCCGACACCGCCGCCTCGTCCCCCGCCGCCGCAGCCGCCGCGTCCGTGTCACCCGCTGCCGCCTCCGCCGCCGCATCCCCCGTCTGCGCCGCCAGCGATAAAGCGAAAGGAAGAGTGAGAGAGAGAGAGTGAGAGAGAGAAGAGAGAGGAAGAGAGAGGGGAGTATGACATGTGGGTCCCACATTTTTTTAATAAATAAAATGCTGACTGGACTGCCACGCGTACGCCACGTGGGGCAAAACCGCTTAGGATTGGGTCGAGGGGGGTAATTTGTCCGGTATTAAAAGTTGAGGGTGAAGGATGTTTGGTTTTCGGGTTTAGGGTGGTAATTCGGACGACCACGATAGTTCGGGAGGTAATTCGTACTTTTTCTTCTACTTTTATTCCAAATCAAAGAGAGAATCTATCTATCGGTTAATATGAAAACTGCAACTTGAGCCCCTCTTTTTAATATATTAACAGCGCAACTTGAGCTTTAATTTGCACTTGAAGGGAAAACAAATTAAAGAATCAATAGGCCCAACAGCTTTTGCACACGGAAGCAAAGCCGCTCGTCCCTCCCAATACCCCAAATACTAAAACCTCGTATGCGCAGCGCAGAGGTCACTGTGGTCTGGGAAAGAGCCGTTTGAAAGCTGGCCGGCCAGTCACTGGAGACCCGGGTCCACATTGCACGCAAGCTGATAAACAGCGGTGGCAGCCCGTGAGGGACTCGTCCAGTTTGGCCATCGCTTTTACAGCAACAGCACATCACACCACGCATGCCAAAAGTGTGTTCCAAGTAGACTGGTGAAATCCTTTTATATTATTATTTTACACAGGTATTGTTTCACTTTTTACCCTCTCAATTAGAGCATGTACGATAGCAGGCTATAAGCTAGCTGCAAACATATTTTAGGGAGATAAATAAGAAGAGAAAAGGGCAGCGGGCTACAGATTTGTAGCCAGCTGTAGCACGGACTCCAAGACGCAGCGTGTGTATGATAGATGGGACCAGATATTAATACTATAGTATGTAACTATTGTATAATGAGCTATTAGATTGGCTATAGATGAATTAGAGCTAGTAGTTGGCTATACTATTAAACTTGCTCTTAGGTGGTGGGTATTCAATTAGGGCCTGTTTAGATCCATTTGGAATGGCAAATGACAAAAGTTTTGGTGGCAAAAAATTTGTCATTGCAAAAGTACTAGTTGGTGTTTAAATACATCTTAAAGTTTTATCATTTTAGCACTAAAGAGAGAGAGAAAGAGAGATGGTGCGGTCCCGGAACACTTTTTAGCAAAATTTGCTACCATAGACTAGCAAATGCCAAATGTTAAATTGCCAACTTTTGTTACTAGTGTTTAGATTTAAAATGGCAAAAAGTGCTCCAAAATGACAAAACTTTTACCATTTTGAAAGATCTAAACAGACCCTTAGACCGAAAATTTGGTCTCGGTCTACAATCTTTTAGAAAATTTCCATCATTTAAAACTGGAGACCAAATTGCATTGTAAAATAGTAAATACCGAGCAATTCGGTCTTGGTGATGACCAAAATTTCAGCAGGTCAAGAAAACACACGAATCACGAATAAATAGTACACCTAAAAAACTCACCAATATCACAGGAAAAAAATCTCAGATCGGGCAGTGGGCCATTGGCTACTTGGCCTTTCGTCGTAGTCAACCTCATTGTGGAGGTGTTACCCGAAGTTATCGTATATCGTCGTCAAAGTAAAGGAAGTGCCACCCATGCCCATCAAAGCGGAGGAGCGCGACGCAATCAATGGGCGACGGGGTTGATGCGGTTGGCGGAGGGGTGGGCTCGACGGTCGGGGCATCCTACGATGCAGGTTGTCTCGAGATGCGGTTGGCGATAGTGAGATGTAGGCAGAGGCGGCGTTACATGCGAGCAAGAGGTGTGGTTACGCTCAATCGTGCAAGGCTGCAAATGAACTACTACTTGGGTGCGTGCGTTCATGGAATCGTCGAACATTAAGTGGGGATTTAGAGTTTACTTTTGGATGGACCTATTTGGTTAATTCAACTACCGAGGACTCTAACCGAATTGGTCGAAGGAAATTTAGTTAGTTGAGTAGGGAGAGCGAAATTTTGTCTCGGTCTCGATTATTTCAATCGGGTCCTCGGTCTTGGTCTTTTTCCCCCACCCTAACTCTCAATGGTTCATTTGACTAGTCGGTCATGCAGTTATCTACAAGGGTATAGGTTAATATGATAATCTCTTTATTATTCCTGTTGTCTTTGACCAGAATTTGTCAATTTTGGTTGGGCAAGTTATTCTCACTTTAAATGGGCGTAAAAACCCATAGCTCTACCAAAATAATTTCGTTCAAAAAATAGAACAGTTGAATTCATAAATTTTGTTGGACGATGCATAGAATTTATGTTGATTCGCACAGTTGTCTAGATAAGTACGGTAGAAATTAGTCATGGTTGGGGGGTTTTCATGTAAGATTGATTAGCGAAAGGTTGGAACAATCATAGCTAGATGATAATGGCAAGGCAGTGGTGGCGCCGTTGGATTCATACGCCAATAGAGGGTGAATGATACTAGAACATGGATGTAGGCGATGATGATGAGAATGTTTAGGAGATGATCGGCCTAACAATAGCTAGAGACAAGAAAGAGAGACACACTTATCTGAGACTGTAGGAACCATAGATAGGAGAAAGTGGGACGAGGATGGTGCGTTTTGTTGTAGTGCTAAATTTGGAATTAAAATATATAATCCTGTGATAAATTCATATGTTTTAACATTCGGTAGAGAATGTTAAAATAGATGAATTGGTAAATATTTCTCAAAAAAGTGTTGAATAAAAAATTATATACTCATGAAGATCTATAGTTAGATTTCAATTCTACTACCACTACCTTCCTTTAGTAGTCTAAAGTGTACCGAAACAGTGTCTGAGAGAGAATTATACAGGGAAAATCGCTTACATTATATGACACAGGTAGCATCATATTAAAAGTGGTGGCATAAAACTAAAGTTAAAGGGATATGGATATGGTTTTTTTTTAAGGGTTGATAGGGACGCTAGCTAGGTTTTGGTTTCAGATTGTATGGTTATAGATGAAATGTATAAATAGCTTTTAAAATAATGATTGTCTAAATTTCAGACACACGATTTACATTTTATTTAGAGAAAACAAGCTTGAAAAGAAGTAATGCGCAAATTACTGTGTTCTGGACTCCGACAAATTCCAACATTGGCCGGGCTGATCTCATGGACAAAGTCGACAGGGCAGCAGCATTACCACGAACGCTTCGAAAAGCAAGTTGGTTAATAAATTAATGAGCAGACAGAAACAGCTTGTGCTCGACCGACCGATCGCTAATTGAATTGCTGAATTATTGATCGATTTGGAAGGCAGCAACACATCCGCTACGAAATATCTTGTCGGGGAAAGCCAATCAACCAATCAGCCAATAGTGTTTATACCCTCGCAAAAATTATTGGGATAGCTAGTGTGGCCACTAGCCCCGTCCCAGCTAGGCTGCCTCTCACATGCAATCAGCTTTTGCCCAAATAGCATTTCTCCCCATGTGAAGTGCGATACCACCCTGAATTAAACCACATGTTCCTTCCATGGGTGGTTTGATCGAAAACCACTTATTGGCCGTGTTTAGTACACCCCAACTTCCAACTTTCTATCACATCACATCACATCCAAAACTTTCCTACACACATAAGCTTTTAACTTTTTTTTTCAAACTTCCAACTTTTTTCAGTAACTAAACACACCCTATATATATATATGTGGTCACTGGTCATGCAAAGGAATGAGGATGAGGATCGGTTGTGTTTGCGGGGGTGGCTAGCTCGCGCATGCCCGCGAGAACTTTAAGTCGCGTGCATGCGGGCCTCCGCCTCAAGCGCTTAGCGCTTTTCTGGAAGAAAAACAACGCAATATTGCTAATCTAAATAATTAGCACTAATCATGAAATGCTACAGTAATTTCTCAATAAAAATAGAAACAATGATTTTGAATTTTTGAGTAAAAAGTTTTTCTAATAATGACTTGAAAATTTTTAAAATATGATTTGAAAGTTTTCTAAATATTGACTTGAAATTTGAATTTTTTAAGTCAATTTTTGAAAACATTCAAATTTTTATCTCAAATTTGAAAACTTTCAACTCGAATTTGAAAACTTTCAACTTGGATTTAAAAACTTTCAACTCGAGATTTGAAAACTTTCAACTCGGATTTGAAAACTTTCAACTTAAGATTTGAAAACTTTCAACCCGAGATTCGAAAACTTTCAACCCGAGATTCGAAAACTTTCAACCCGAGATTCGAAAACTTTCAAATCCAGGATTTGAAAATTTTCAAATCGAGATTTGAAAACTTTCAAGTTTAGATTTGAAAATTTTCAACTCAAAATTTAAAAACTTTCAAACTCAAAACATGCTAAAGATAAAAAAAAATCAGAAAAAAGTGGGAAAAAAGGGGTAAAAAAACAAAAAAAAAAAGCGTGGAGGAGGCGCGCGCGCGCCGGCGCAGCGGTGCTGGGCCTTCTGGGCCTGAAACGCGCGCCGCCGGCGTGCGTGCTCTACCTAGCTTTTCCGTGTGTTTGTTGCTAGGATCCTAGTGAAAAAAAGATCGGACCGATGGTGGAACCGGAAAAGACCCTAGTGGAAAAAACCGTACCGGACCATGGTTGAACCGAAAAAACCAAAACCAGTACTTTAGACGGCTCCGTTACCTGCTCCCAGGACCGCCCCTGCAATTGAACTAGTAAAAAAAAGGCCAAAACCAATAGATTTCTCTAGTGAATCGTGGCCGATGGAGACCGATCTGGCCGGCTCAACGTTTTCTGCACCAGAACTCGGGCCACTTTAAGGCCAAATATAGGCTTTGAAGGCACATTTCTATGGAAAAAAGAGGTCAAAATAGGAGCAATTATGGGATTCTATCATGGGTGACTGCGATGGGAGCTTCCTCTAGTGACCTAGGCTGTGGACTAGATGTGGGCCATGTGGCATAGAGAGAATATGAAACCTAACAAAGGTTTACAAACCACAGTTTAATCGGCGAACCGTCGGTCCAATCGGTGGACCGGTGAACCAACACTTCGATCAGTTCAATAGCTGGTCCGGTTTTTTTACCATTGCTGAAACTACTACAAGCCGGTGGCGGCATGTGATCCATGCCATTGACGGTATTTTTAGCCTAATATTAGGCTGCACATAATTAGCCATATCCTTCATGCAATGTATTAGGCTAAATTTTGGTGTGTTAAAATTGTTACTAATAGTTTAGTTTGATCTTTGTCAGTTCAAGCTCCTTATGCATGGATCACACTAGCTAGTGCCTGCCTTCTTCGGATGTTTGTCATGAGATCTATTGTTTTTAGATAAAACTTTGGTCAAACTTCCAAACTAATTTATGCACTAGCTAGTACACTATAAGATACTACTACATCCGTTTTTCTAAATCTATGATGCGTTAACTTTTTCTATATATTATTCGTCTTATTTAAAATTTTCGTGCAGACATAGAAAAATCTATAAGTCATACTTAAAAGAACCAAATCAAATCACAACAGAATAAACGATAATTACATATACTTTTTTAAATAAGACGAATGATCAAACTTATGTTTAAAAGTTAACAACGTTATATATTAAAAAAGAGAGAGGTATTTAGATGGGACACATGAAAAAAAAATCAAAATACTACATATTTTATTTTACAAACATATGCTACCTAAACTGTGACAATATCTAAATAAAACCACATGTTTATGTGCCTATAGAGAGTTTTTCTCTTGTAGGCATCGATGAATGGAGGAATTTTACCTATGTTAGGGGTGTATTTACGATTGTACATGTATGGTGTTATGTATACAGTGATGTGCATGCTTGTGCATCTACCATGTAATAAAAACTTATTGGTCGCTAGGCTCTCGTTGATCTCAAGTGTTGCTAGGCTCTCGTTGATCTCAAGTGTCAGCGCTATGCTTTCTATCCAAAAAAAGATGCAATAGTTGTTAGCAACATACTGTTACAACAACAGTGATCAGCAATACCACTGGACGCCCATGACGCGAATTCTCAAAGCAGAACGGTAGCTGCAAGAAAAGGAGTAGAAAACATAGCCACTTGTGAATTGTGATAGCCGTATGCATGCATTTGTTGGTGCAGCATTGGATGGTTAAGGTTGTGACACAAGCAGTGCCTGATTGGTTCATGTTCTTCATCAATTATTAGTCTTGCCAAAAAAAAAAAGAAAAAGAAAAACCTTGATCAGTTCACTGTGTCATTCGGAACCTTGGAGGGTCAAACAGCTACCCAATTATACTCTATCCGTTCCTAAATATTTGACGTCATTGACTTTTTAAAATATGTTTGACTGTTCGTCTTATTTAAAAAATTTAAGTAATTATTAATTCTTTTACTATCATTTGATTCATTGTTAAATATACTTTTGTGTGCGTGTGTGTGTATATATATATATAGTTTTGCATATTTCACGTAAGTTTTTGAATAGGACGAACGGTCAAACATGTTTAAAAAAAGTTAACGGCGTCAAATATTTAAAACGGAGGAGTCAATCAATTCCTGAGAGAGATAATTAGAGGCAAACACATCATCCAACACGAACACATTCTGCAACAAAAGCATAGCATAGAGGCTTTTTTTAAAAGGACAATACAAGGTGTTCTAGTTGATGAACAAGTCGTATATAATTCGATAGGACACTAATTTGTTTAGATCAACTTGAATCAGACGTAATCCTAATTGCTTAGATCACTTTGCGTAATCAGATTACCGGAGAAACAAAAGTCGCTCACGAATCACGATCCCTTTTGTCTTATGCCGTACAAGTGTGACAAGTGTTGTTCATGAAGAGCCAAATTCCTCATCCCTTGTTGACCTACTCCCTAATTTTTTTTAAAAAACTCTCCAGTGGTCAAGAAAACATAATCTGAATTACTCAAATCCAGTTACAATTAGCAGAAAACTGGGGCAGGAATGATGCAGGGCATTGCGAAGTCAACCAAGTTCAGTTTCTAGGAAATCAGCTGGTTGAGTCGGGTGTCCCAGAGACACGTTTGTTAGGCAGCGCCGCAGAAATTATCCTTGTCATATCACTAAAACTTTAGCGCATTCGTTTTAAATGCAAGTTTTTAAGTACTCGTTAGATCATTTATCTAATTAAAAAAAGCTACATAGCTACGTAAGTATATCATTTATTTTGTTGTGAATTTTTTTATTGTCAAAAGTACTTTAAAAATGATTTTATTTAATATCTACACTAAATTTAATAAAATTAATTATCAAATATAAGAAAAATTGCTATACATTTGAAATTTTGAAAATGGAGAGAATAGTACCAAGAAACAACAGGTAGAAGAAGATCACAAGGAGAACAGCAGAACTGGAACTTCACCCCATCGATGACAAACGTGACAACAATGGAGGCCCATAAATTTCCGGCCCAAAACCCATCAATCACCCCATCGATGCTTCTCCACCGGAGAAGTCCAATTCGATTCGTATCCCCACGTGCTCTTTCTTCTTCCTCCTCTCCGCATCCAACGCTCGAAGCGAGGAAGAAAAAGAAAAAAGAAAAAAAAAACAGAGATCCCCCACAACTTCCGAATCCGATCGGCGGTCGCGGCGGCGGCGGCGGCGTCGGCGACGGCGACGGCGGGGAGCTTCTTCCCGATCCCCTCCTGATCGCCCGCAGGATCGATCGAGCTCTCCCCCCCTCTCACTCACCTCGGGGGGCGCGGCGGTGGGGGGCTAGGGATTTGAGCCGGATCGCGGCGAGCTTGAAGGGGCGCGGACTGAGGCGGCGAGAGGAGCGGGTTTCCGGTTCGGGGGAAGGAGGGGAGGAGTAGTAGGAGGAGGAGGAGGAGATGGTGCTGGTGCTCGCGCTCGGGGATCTGCACGTGCCGCACCGGGCGGCCGACCTGCCGGCCAAGTTCAAGTCCATGCTCGTCCCGGGCAAGATCCAGCACATCATCTGCACGGGGAACCTCTGCATCAAGGTTAGCGGCCGCTACCCCCCTTCCCTACCGCGGTTTCTCGTGCTTGGCGCGCGCCCCATCATGGTTGACTAGTTTGTTTGTAGCGTCCTGTTTAGCATTGCCCAGCGAATCTGTTGTTGAGGTATTCGCCCTCTCGTTGGAATCAGAGAACGCCGATTTTGGTCTGAGATTACCTTTGGTTCATTGGTCGTATGATTTTGACTAGTACTACTAGTTTATCAGTTTATCTAAAGCAGAGGTACAATAACTACTTTGAGTACTGGAGGGAGAAAATGATGTGGGGATGAATACCATTAACACTACGTGAGCTTACATGGATCAAAGATTAGGATCAAATGTACATATTTGAAGAGATAGTGGGATCAAATGTAATTCCGAAAGAGGAAGAACAAGAAAATAAACGGGGCCAAATGTGATGCTTCATTATCTTAAAACCTATTGACGATTGGTGAGCACCATTGGTTTTGATTTTAGCAAAGGGCCTGGTTTTTGGAGGTTGAGCTTAAATTCCAGTTGGTGACGCTTGCATTGTTCTCACCAAGTTACACGAGAGGTGCCACTTGGTCCTTGATAGACACACATAGAACATTACACAGAAAACCTGGAAATTATACCCGGAGCAGGAGATTCAATTAAGCGAGATTCCGAAGCTACAATTTTGCCTCTCCCATTAATAGGTTTAGATAGAGCATTTATGACACGACCCAAGTAAGCCTTGTTCACGCGTATCTAAGCAATTCTTCATGTTGCTTTTACAAAACTGCTCTCTTGTATCATCAACTCATAGCTCATTAATACAATCCCAACATTTTTGGATACCAAATTCAGAGCAATACCCCTAGTACTCCCTTCTGCAAATTCAACTAATTCGACTGACATTATTTCACCAAGACCTATAATACGAGCAATCCCATCCCCCACTTGAACTATGCGACCGTTATTCTTAATCCCTACTTTTCTATTATATTGTTCAATACGTTCACAGAGAATTTTATGAATTTCGTCGACTCGAAGAAAATGCAGTTGTTACTTTGAAGTGTTCTGGAAACAAATAATTGGTCACCACATATAGTAAAACTTCTTCTAACAGAGTGTTAAGGGGATCTAGGTTGTCCTATCAACAGACACTTCATGATAGTTGCACTAGAGTAGATAGAGTCAGTATCCTTCTCCCCTTGAGATAAGAAATTTTAGTGTTATGATTGGTGAACTTATTTCCTGATGTTTAAATTTTACCTTTTGTGTGGCATCTTTGCAAGGGTCACTCTTTTCCCCACTATTGATGCTTTCTCAAAAGTAACAGCTTCTCCAATTTATTAGTGGACTCTTGTCATCTCACATCTTGGTGACAGAGATCTCCATTTCTCGTTAGAAATTCAGGGGTAAACTCTCAATGTACAACTGTACATTGAATTTAATGTTGAAATTGAATTCGAATGAACTTTCTCTCATTAGATTGTTTTCACTGAACTTTTCTCTGATACTATGAGGAGCTTTTCCCAGATAATTTATGTACTGCCGAGGTACATGATTAAAGGAACTCTATTTGCCTGCCAAAATATCGTGTCTACTCAGAACTATGCTTGTGCTGTTACAAGTTGGATGATCAATTCACACTTTAGAAGTTTAAATGTAAACAGTTGGCTTCTAGAAGCTACATAATCAATATTTTCAAATAGAGTGATTACCATGATAAATAACCTGTTTGCCCATGCTTGCACTGCTTTCAGCTTATTTTATGATACTAGTACAAAAAACAGTAAAAGATTCAAGCTCACAGGAGATGCTCAAGCTTCCACCTGCGTGGCTTAGTTATAGCTATGAACAACCATTAAATAAAGTTAAATTGCAGCCAGGTGAAAGAGGCCAACAATTGTTATTTTAAATAAGGACTACTGTTACATACCAGCGGTGCAAGATGTTGAGTTGTGTAAACCATACAGTAGGTTTTATAGATGCCAAGCACACCAAGCTCAAAAGATTACATCAGCTCTGTTGACAGCAATTTGAAATTGTTTATACTAGAGGGCTGCACAATAAACCGTATTAAAGTGATAGGGTTTTATAGATGCCAAGCACACGAAGCTCAAAAGATTACATCAGTTCTGTTGACAGCAATTTGAAATTGTTTATACTAGAGGGCTGCACAATAAACCATATTAAAGTGAGTGAAGAATATGAAGCTCTCCTAGAGGATTAAGGATCCATGCCACAAAATTGTGGGGCCATGATGAAATAACAGCCGAAGAACTATTTGCCTGTTTTCATCAGCTTCTTTGCATGATTAATGGCTCTTGATCCTTGTGAAGTTTCTTTTATTGGACTGTTCTTGCTTTTGAACTTTGTATTGGATTAACATGTTATCAGGACGATACTAAGGTAGTTGTTTTTCATCTACTGATTTGTTGACACAGACTTACTGTATGGAACTGTTTATCTTTTGGTCTGATGAAATGCGGACTGATTTTTATTTTTATTTTTTTGTAATTTTTCTATAGGAAGTTCATGACTACCTGAAAAGCCTTTGTCCTGATCTCCATATAACCAGAGGTGAATATGATGAGGATGCTCGTTACCCAGAGACTAAGACACTTACTATTGGTCAGTTCAAGCTAGGGCTGTGCCATGGTCATCAGGTTTGCTTTTGACTCTAGAACTATTACTTGCCTTGTTAGTATGAGCTTCATGACCATGAATCAGGGATACTAGACTTTTAATATGCTACTTTTTTAGAACAGTCATAGAGCAAGTTTTATAGTAGAGGTGGCTGCTACCTCTTATTTAGTCCACATCATCAACCTATAAATTGAGAGATAGCATGTACAACATGTTACCTCTAACACACAAACCCCAATACTTTTCATACTCTCACATTTTTCTTGGAGTTTGTGTATAGGTTGCCCCTTGCATGAGGGGTATCTCTCTCGCTCTCTCTCTCTCTCTCTCTCTCTCACACACACACACACACCTTTTCTCCTCCACCGCACCATTTAGTCCTATGTGGCATCTTAGGGCTTGTGCTTGGAGGCCCATAGTACTTGCTCTTATGTGATTATATATTGTTCCACATGAGGCCATGCTAATTAAATGTTACACTACTAGGAATGAATATAAGAATATTTTATTCTTGCTAAACCAGAATATTTGCTTCTTTTGTTTCTATAAATAAAGAAACAATGCTAGTATCTATAGCAACCTTCTCGCTTATATTTCTTCAAATGCCAATGGAGTTTGGGCTAAACATTTTAAATATTTGTAGTGGTTTGTAACCCAGGCACTACATGGTTTGCATCCTTGAACAGGGAGTGCTGTTTGTTCTTTACACCCTCGCATGATTGCGGCGAGATAAAGCACTTTAACACATCGCGTTATGTTAGGTCATTCCATCGCGGCAAAATTGCGGCTTATTTTCTGGAAATATTCTACTACTATCGATTCTAAATTCAGTTAGTGATCAACAAGGACATTTCCACTGTACCTTTAGTTGGAATTGCTATAGCTTCAGATGTCTACTTTACCCCATAAGGTACTTGTAAAAACACGGCTAAGTTTTTCTCCATGTTAATTGCTAGTTTCTTTGTTGGGATGTTTTGTTAGCTTATGGAAATGTTTGCAATTTATGGGATTGAAACACATATCACATTTTTTATTTTTATGTGGGTACACCGTACATGTATGGACGACACATGGTTGGCAACTTGAGATGTTGCAATATTTCAGCAGTCAAATGGTCTAGGGCTCATGCAAAAAAGATGTTATTTAGTTCAATGGATGTTATGTGGTTTCCCACTGACTGCAGGGTAGTGGATGAGCGTGTGTGTATATTTGCTTTCCACATGTTGCAGCATCTCATCAAGCAACAGGCTTCATGGATAGTCACAGTAAATTGAAGTGTTGAACCTATTTGCATTGACCCATATCCATAAAAGTGATGTGATACCTCCTCCTTGGGGACATAAGCACCCATATCCTTAAAGTGACGTGATACTTCCTCCTTGGGGACATAAGCATGTTCACCACCAGGAAAGAAAACAAACCATGTGCTGTATCTTGAACATTGACTTGTGCAGAACCATTCACGATGTTGGTTCACTGTATCCGTTGCTGCGTTCACCATATTCTGCACTACATCTTGCGCACCACTAACAATTTGAGTAAGCCATGTCTTGCACTATGTATGAGAACCTGAAACTATCTTAATTGACGTGCTTAAGGGAGGGGAGTATCGCAAGCACATTCATTTGTGAATTATTGTCTGTCTTGAATCCCTGTACACAAGTGCCATATTGGGTCAATAATCTGCCTTGCTTTTTGTTAGTACATGCCAAAGAGTCTGATCAGTCAGTGTCAAACTTGAGATTGTTTTGCAGTGTATCCTAATCTTTTCTCTGACCATGCAATCATCAGGTTGTTCCATGGGGCGATTTGGACTCCCTGGCGATGCTCCAACGGCAGCTGGACGTGGACATCCTCGTCACAGGGCACACCCACCAGTTCAAGGCGTACAAGCACGAGGGGGGAGTGGTCATCAACCCCGGCTCCGCCACGGGCGCCTACAGCAGCATCACCTACGACGTGAACCCGAGCTTCGTGCTCATGGACATCGACGGCCTCCGCGTGGTCGTCTACGTGTACGAGCTGATCGACGGCGAGGTCAAGGTCGACAAGATCGACTTCAAGAAGACGGCGACGATGCACGCCTGACCAAAAAACACATCAGAAAACCCTTCCCCGTCCTGCCCAGCCCTGCCCTTGTTTTTAGTTACCCTTTACCCTTCTTGCTTGATTCAGAGATCATCCCATTTTCTCAAGCTTCCTTTTCTTCCTCGCTCTCGTCCTTGTGCAAAAGCTTGAGCCGTGTATTCAGATTAGTTAATAATAAAAGATCGTCAAGAGTTGTCATGGTAAAAAGAACTGGAGCCGGTGTATTGAGATCTAGTGAATCAAGATCATCAGAGTGATTAAGCTGAGGTGACATTGCATTATGTAATCCGTGTGTTTGACAGGCTGGGAATTGCGCAACATGTGTGCCTCCACATAACATAACTTTTGGTGAGACACAAGAACTGCAGATTTGTATGAAGTGTGTATTGACTGGTGTTGTGCCTGGCGTGGCGTGGCGTGCTGCACTGCACGGATCCATCCACGCGCGGGCGCGGGGCACATGCCGCTGCCGGGTGTACTGTGCGTCGCGCTGCTCGTGGTGTCGGCGCGCGTGTGCTGTGTCCGTCCGTGGCGTGGCGTGCCAATGCCATTGCCACGCGCGGCGGACGGCGGCGAGCCGACACGGGAGCGTAGAGCAGAGGCAGCGCGCCCGTGGGCGTCACGTACGCGTACGGCCGGGATCTCAGATGGTGGCAAACCACGCATGCATCAGTCCCCATCACGCATGCGTACGATACGCGCAGGCGCAGCTACAGGACACTAGATCAATTCAAAATTCTGCCTTCAGCTTCTGGAATACTGCTAGAATTTCGCGATAATTCTGTAGGAGTATCACATTCAAACAATTTTTTTTCATAGAAAATTTTTAAAAAATATCACCCATTTCGTACAATTTATTGTTTGTAAGATACTTCTGTTTAGCTCTGTTTGGGAGCTCGAGATTCAGAGAGGCAATTGGTGGTAGGAAAAATGGTTTTCGGCTTTTGGCTAGATTCTGGTTTTTATTTTATTTTAAAATTATATAGCTTATGATTTTTAGCCACCTCGGTAAAAGATCGATTGTTCAAGGGATCGAATGATTATAAGAGAAACCACGGTTGATAGAAGCTCTCAAAACAAGACAATGTGAAAACAATTCTACTACAATGTCAAAATGTGGTGTACAGCTAGTACTATATCAACTAATTCAAGCCATCCATATTCGATCGAATGTAGAGGATCCATCTCTACGAATTCCGAAATCGTCGTACCCTCTGCCTCCTCCTAACAACCCAAAATCCCAAAAACAAAACATTGATTAAATTAAGACGTATCTGTGTTATCCTGGCTGAAACCCGCACTAAAACAGCAAAAACACATGCGTAAACAAACACGTAGCCGCAATCGTGGCGGCGCACTCGATTGATCGGTGACTGACCAAACCAAAGCCAGTAGAATTGAATCTTACTGTTCCTAGTGCATCTCGAGCACCTAGTAGTAATACGTGTGTGTAACTAAAAGGGAGAAAGTGCAGTCGACTCAGCGAGATCACATAGATCGATATCATATTCATATATATCACCCCCAATTACTGTAAGTACTACTAATTGCGCTTTGCAGCTAATTGCATCAGCCATTAGGATCAGGAGGAGGATTAAGACGTGACTAATTAATTACTAATTACTGCTAGTTCGTGGGGGTTATTAATTAGGGGGGACACGAGGAAGATAATGTTAATTAGTTGAGAGGCGAGAGCAGCGAGATACAGTGGCACGCTGTCCGGGATGGCGACCATAACCAAGTTTTTGGCCGCCTTGCCGAGCCGTCCCTGTCGCCGCCGGCCGGCCGCTCCGTTGCTGTCCGGCTGTGCGGCGAGCACGTTGACACGTCGGCGTGGGGTCTTCTGCGGCAGAGGACATCCACAACGCTGAAATACTTTTTTTTTACGTATTCTAATATGATTTTCTTGATTACATGAAGGACACAAATTCAGACTATATACACCCTCCGTCCTAAAAAAATAACTTGTAGAAATAAATCTAAACATGTATTTATTCAGATTTCGTCCCTAGAAGTTGATTTTTTTTTCTACGAATGGAGGGAGTATATATGTTAACCACACGCATAAATCAATGAGTATGTTAATTTGTATGATGAAACCAACAACAATAGTTAGTCTTACTAGACATTCCTAGTGCACATAGCATTCAAAGCATTAAACCCTTTAGGCGTCACACTACTCGTATCGTTTCGACTGGTGACGTGGCTAAAAGATTCACTTTTAACAATACTTTTTTCAAAAGGCGTTTATTAAAGATTTTGCTAAAGGGTTTTAGAAGTAAAAGGATTATATCGTGTGTATGTGCGGTGAGGATTAGTAGTGTGGGAGTATAGAAGTATAAGTTTTAAAATAGAGTAAAGTGTACGGGTGGTTTCTAAACTTGTGTGGGCGTGTCATCCAAGTCCCTGGACTCTCAAAATGTATTTTTGGGCCCCTCAACTTGTCTTGGGTGTCATATAGGTTCAAATGGGCTCCAACTCACTCCGTGTGCTAACGTGACATGTCATGGTGGCGCCTATGTGTCAGTAGAATCCATATGTCAGTTATATATAGAAAAAATTAAGAACATTTTTTTCTCCTCTCTTTTTTCATTTATTTTTTCAAAATTAAAAACATCATTTTTCTCCTCTCTCTATCCTCTTTTTTTAAATTTTATTTTTTTATGTGAATGACATGTGGATCCCATTGACACGTAAGCATCACCGTGGCATGCCACGTCATCTCACGGAGCGGGTTGGAGCCCGTTTGGACTTACATGACACTCATGACAAGTTCAGGGACCCAAAAACATTTTGAGAGTTTAGAGATCTAGATAACACATTCGTACAAATTTAAGGACTGCCCATACACTTCACTCTTTAAAATAACAAGCTATACTGTAATATATATTGCATGCCTAGCACCCTAGCTAGCAACATAAGTATGCCTTGTGTTGTCATGCATGCAAGAGGATGTCCATAGGAATATAATGTACTTTTACGAAGATGCATGTCTACTCGACCTTACAAATTAGAAGAAAGGATAGATCATGTTATAAAACTGTATAAAGTTAGGTAAGTGCTATTTCGGATTAATATTTATGAAGATATACTACACTACTCCTAGTAGCTAGTTATCCGTTCAAGAAAGTTACCGGCTTATCTGAACCATGTGAGGGCTAAATTGATCTAAATTCTTCACAAACATGCATGGTCACAAAAGGTGGAGAATGGCCGAACTCAAAAACCATGAATTATGCATACCTACCTTTTGGGGGTGGTATTGCAACTTTAAAAATGTGATACATATGGCCTTTTTTTTTCATATGGTACTATTTGAAGCGGCAACTATTATTAAAAAGAACCAATATTATACAGTAAATTTTGTAATAGGATACTCACAATTTTTATAATTTGTCGTGGACATCATAAAAAGTGCCGCGGTAGAGGACAACTACAAAACCGGTAATTCCAAAGGATATTTTCGATCCAATTGAAGAATGTCCCTTGGGCTACAAGCTTCTAACAACCTGACGCTTAAGTGAAAATGGGATATATATGATGTGTATGCTAGCAATTTACTCAGAGTGATGACATTTTGAGTTGCGTAATTTCAATTTTTTTTCTCCAGCGCTAGGTTAAAATATTGTGGCCCCAAAGGCATCCTCGTCTTTTTAAATAATATCTCTCTTCATGTAGGCTAAAAATTTCTTCAGGCAAAATACCATTTTTGGATGGCCTCTAGCCATGGCACTTTTTTTTTATGTTCACCAGTACACATTTTGTCGTGTAACAAAAATTACCTTATATTCTGCACCTTAGTTAGTTTATCTTAAATCTTTTTTCTCGATATGGTCGCCTCGCATTATAATCGTGAGTTTATTTTCTTAGAGCACCCGCAATGGTAAAGTAAGGTGCTATCTATAAAACATGTACATCTCAGCAATAGACTAGAATAATAGTAAACCATCTCAATAGTATGTCTACATGGATATCTATAGCTCTCTAATACATTGCCTCGTTTTTCTCTATAGACTATCTCCAGGTTAGTAGATAGCTTTGCTCTCTCTCTTCATTTAATCTCTTCTAAGTAGGAAAATATGCTGACATGGATCTCTTATAGAGAGCCTATAGATAACCATTGTGGGTGCCCTTACCCAACCATGACTAGGCTGAAGATTAATTATTGAGTTATTTATCCTTTTCAAGATGCATGCAAGACCATTTAGTGGTTGCTCCTATTAGCCGGACCCATGGTGAAGCTGGCTCAACAACTTAAGTACAACATAAAGCTATAGTTTAGTGGCTGGCTGAGCACACTGACCAGTGGGCCCAGAGTGTGAAACCGGTCATCTCCGTAACCTGTTAACCGTCCTCGCAGACCACTGAGCACAAGCACAAGTAGGTAGACGATCGATCGGTGACACCGTCACAACCCATCGATCGTTATTCAACGAACCAAAGTCCAAATGGCACATCATGTCGCACAAGAAAAAAAGAACATAGCTTAACACATGACTAATTAACACATAATTGATTTTAGGGAAAATTGGAACCATGCCATTATAATTTTGCAAAATTTGAGATATGCCATCCTGACCCACATGTCATTGACTCATGTGGGTCCTACATGTCATTGAGATACCGATGACATATCTCAAACTTTACAAAATTATAATGGCATGGTTTCAAATTACCGATGGCATATCTTAATTTAAGTATTAGCTAAAAATCAGGCTGTGTTTGTTTATTGTCTAGAGGTGTTAGAAACCCTTCCTCTCCAACGAGTAAAACGAAATGATGGATTAGCATATAATTACTCAAGTATTAGCTAAATAAACCATAACACTAGATTACTATGATTTTTATAGTAACTTTTCTATAATTTTTTTAATAAAATACGTTGTTTACTACGTAAACCCCCCGGTTTCATTTTAATTGATGTTTTGGACAATGACACGGTCTACAAAATATATCTTTGAACTTATTATTCTATTATAATATACACAATAAATAAATACATGTTTACTTTTATTATAGTGTTTTTGAAAGACAAATCTATATATGTTGTTCTAGTTTCTTTAAACTAAATATTTTTGAAGTTATTGATGGTCAAAGTTATAAAAGTTTGACCTCAACCTTATCCAAAACGTCAATTATATAGAACTGGAGGGAGTAGTAGTTTGAGAAGTTCACATGTGAAAATCGAGAGAATAGAAGTTAAAAGGTACTTATATTTAAGAGCAAATACAATAGTAGAAGTCTACAAGCTAGCTACAAACACATATGAAGGAGAGAGAAGAAAAACAGACCATAAATTTATAGCCATGTACAATATGAGCTCCAAGATAGTGGATGCGCATGAGAGGTGAGCCAAATATAATGGCGTAGTATATAGTTATATTAAACTATTTTATCCATCTCAAGATATAAGACTCAGCCACTCCTAACATACTCCCTCCGTACTCGTAAAGATAGTCGTTTTGGACAGCGACACAATCTCCAAAACACAACTTTAACTTCTTGTTTCTATAAAAAAATTTTATTGAAAAGTGATATGTATATACTTTTATGAAGGTATTTTTCAAGATAAATTTATTCATATAATTTTTAAATTTTCAAACTCAACAACTTGAGAGTTATTTATAATTTATATTCCCAAGGTTTGACTCAAACATTGTCCTAAACGACTTCCTTTACGAGTACGGAGGGAGTAAGGATTAAGAAAGAATTTAATCACCTCCTTAATTAGATCACATCCATACATGGAAGCAATGTGATTGGAGGGCTTAATGGTAAAGGATTTAAAATAAACCAAATTTAAAGAACTAAAAGGTGATAGTTAATGTACATATGCATGCACGCCTTATATTATGAGACATGGGAAAAAAATAGTTGTGTCTTATATTTTGAGATAGGGAGTATTGTATGAGCAAAGTTTGATAGTATAGCTAACTACTCCCTCCATCTACTTTTGATAGTCATATTTCCAAATATGAAAAAAATATTTTTGATAGGCATATTTCAATTTAACAGCCTATTCTCTTAATGACTTTCTCGGATTTAATGCATAACTCTCTAACACACAAGATTGGCTACATTGGCATCGATAATGAATCGCTTGTTTATGAGTAATAACTAGTAGCATGTTTAAATGGATGATAAGTAGAATTACTTATCCTTGGTCTGTGTGCCAAGATGAAATACGACTATCAAAAGTAGATGGAGGGAGTATTGGCTATTGGCCCATATTACAATTAACATGTATAATAGGTTAACACTATAATGTTGGCTCTATTTTTTTCTCTCTTCTCTCTTTATCTCACTATAAATTTAATGTAAATATATTGGAGCATGTGTATAACTAGCTATTGTATAAAAGCCAACACTTCTTACTTTCGTTTATCTCTTTTTTTTCACATAAGCTTATAATTAGCTTATAAGTTTTCCACATAAGCTTATACTCCCTCCGTACCAAATTGATCATCATATAAGTTTATGTATCGAGACTAAGGATAATTTAAATCACATCAATGAAGTAACCATATACATATTCTCCCACAATGCATGCATCGATTAAAACACCATGTCAATTATACATTTTAGCATGCACATGTTCTCTCATGCTGCATTAATTGTATTATGATGAAATCCGTGTCTATGCGGTTACATGATGATCAATTTAAGAAATTTTAAATTTCATTATATGATGATCAATTTGGGAACGAGGGAGTAGTTAGCCTATACTCCCTCTACTTTTGATAGTCATATTTTCATCTTGGCACACAGACCAAGGATAAGTTATTCTACTTATCATCCATTTAAACATGCTACTAATCATTCCTCGTAAACAAGCGATTCATTAATATTTACATTTCTTAATGACCATGTAGCCAATCTTATATGGAAGAATGGAGAGTCATACATTAAATCCGAGAAAGTCATTAAGATAATAGGATGTTGAATTGAAATACGCCTATCAAAAATAAATTTTTCAGATTTGAAAATATGACTATCAAAATAGATGGAAGGAGTAATTAAGAAACACTCAGGAGTCTTTCGGCTAGTTTCATAGGGAGTATTTGTGTCCTTTTAGTTAGCTTACCTTAATGTTATTATCCTTCTTTAATCTCAGTTCAGCCAGCCTTCCAAGAACCCCTGAAAAGAAAAGGGAAAAAAAACGAAAAGCAAAGCGCCGCGGCACACAGAGGGAGGGGCCTCGGGATTTGGTCCCGAAGGTGGCGTGTCAGTCTGGAGCCCCACGCGGATCCGACGGCCACCAGACACCGTCCGACGCGTGGTCCCCACGCTTGTCACATCTCCCTTAAACCGCGTGCTAATTACTGTGCTGACCGCTAATTAATCCACTTGTGCTCAAACTTTACCCCTCGTGGTGATTAATTTACTCCTACTGGATTAGTGGTAAAAGTGTTTAGTGTGGGGGGAGGCAGCCGAGCCAGGCAGGCAGGCAGAGGCCAAAACCGTGTTGACCTTTTGGGGGGTTGGGGCAGGCGAACGAGGGCCACGGGTTGGACACGAGGGAAGTGAAATCCCTTGGTGCACACGGTTGCAACCACACTTAAGACAAGGCAAAAACACTTCCTCTCCTTTCACTTTGGGCCTTTGGCTCGTATGTTTTCTGAGCTGGTGGGATATTCGCAGCGTCTCTTATTTTGTGGGCAAAATTTTTTTCACTATATTTTACGTGAAGCCATGTGAGAAAAATAAGCAATGATTAATACGAGACTTGGAGTGAGGCCACTTGGGTAGGTGAGCATGCATGGTAACACACATACGGTGTATGCTTGGTTGGTTGGCTAGAATACGGTGAACCATGCTGAATAAATTATTGTGGTAGTAGGTTGGCTGTGTTTGATGGTGATTTTACTTATATAGCGAAGCATTTGTGTTGGTATAGTTATCTAATAAAAAATTATGATGGAATAGTATTAGCTAAGATATCAAGATACTATTCAATTTTGGATTTTATGATACTATTTGTGGTATCTATTATTTAATCGTACTTAATTGTAGTGAATTGATGTTTACATGGCAAAATGATTTGGATTCATCAACATAAACAACTCAGCATGTTGAATAAATTAACATGGTAGGATGCATGTGCAGTAATTATATATATTAACTGGCATGAATTTGTCTTATTTAAACACACTCAATTCTAGTGCGTTAATATTATTAGCGTTGAAATGATTCTGATTCATAGACATGAATAATAGTAGCACGACTAGTTGCAACTAAACAACCAAATTAAACCAAGTAATTTAACCTAGATATGCCCATATTAAAGAACATAATATTCTAATACTAATATAACCAATATGTCTTTTTTTTTTGAAACTTAAACACATATATTAGAGCAACAGATCAAGAGGGCAAGCCCCCGAACATCATCAACAGAGACAGCAAGATGCACAGAATAGAAAACTGGAACAAGAACACAAACAACCTCCTAAAACTAGACAGTGCAGAAGGCGCGAATCGACAGGGAGCAGCGGCAAAGCCATGACAATTGCAACCTTGGGTCTCCTTTAGCATGCAGACCGCTTGACGAACCGTTAATCCCCTTCGGTCGCCTCCACAGAAACTGCACAAATTGGAGATTTGCTGTTGAGCCGTAGATTTTGGTGGAAGCTTCACCGGACTCAACCAAACTTCACCACGGAGTTCTCCATTGAATCTGAGGAGCTTGAGCTCAACCCGAATGGCACACCCAGCGTGGATGCCACTGCCCGGAGACAAAGAGGAAGAAGGATCCCAGATCCAGCCACCCTGATGCAGTGAAGAGCACAACCATCGACGAATGAACTGTTCTCTATAGCACAACGTTGGGGAAGAGCGGACTTGCACAAGGTGGAGCAGAAGCACCAGACTAACACCACCGACGCCGACGTAGGCCACAACAGTGCAGTCATTGCCGCCAGAGGCAGCAACAGCGCAGCCGCCACCGCCGCGGGCCACATTCGAGCCGCTGCCGCCGCCACGGACCGCATCCGAGCAGCCGCCGCCACCGCCATCGCCGCGGACTGGATCCGCGCCGCCGCCATCATCTTCGGTCGTAATCGCGTTGCCATCACCGAGACTGGCTACATCCGCAATGCCGCCGTCGTCTCCAACCTCCATACCACACCAACGAGAAGCAAAACGAGAAGAACCCGACCTAACGAGACTAGCCCGGCTACTATACTATACTAGGGGAGGGGGGACAACCCCTCTCCCTCCCTCCGCCGGCGACGAGGCCGCCGGAATCGAGGAGGAAGAGGGGTCGGGAGAGGGGAAAAAACTGTAGCAAGCGAGGGTTCGAGAGATATAACCAATATGTCTAAACACTATTAGGCATCACACTTTCAAGTAGGACGTGTTCTTCTTGGCCCACTTGTTGGCTGATGCAATTTCCTTATTCCAGACGCTAGGTGTACTCATGTGGGTGTCCCTAGCAATATACTCTGCTTTGCTTTTCCTTGACTTTCCCCAAAGCTTTCATGGATTCCATGGGAACACTCCTCTGTCCCCAGAAAAAGTCAGAGGAGATAGAAACAAAACCAAGGAAAAAAATACTAACACCAAAAAATATTTTTAAAAAAGATTTGACCCTTTCAATCATCCTCCTCCAGCAGAGCAAGCAGCCAAACCACCAAGCTCCATTCACACACAGCAACAGCAACCACACACACAAATCTAGAATGAGGAAAAAAGAACATCATATCAACAACCAAAAAAGGCACTAACCATCAATAGTTGGGGATGCAAGAAGAGTGATGAGTGATGAGAATTGAGATCCCAATCCTGAAAAACAAAAAGTTTGGATTTTTTTTTGCCATTAGAGGGAGCTTCTTTCTCTCTTCTTCAAGCTTACAAACATCCCAAGGGAGCTACATGCAGAAAGGTTAGGTTGTTGAACAGAGAAAGGAAGAGCCAAGAAGAGCAAAGCACCCCTGCTGCATCCATGCAGAGAGATAGTACTACATGATACACACCATCATCTTTTTTTCCCCTTTTGTTTCATCTCCTTTTGTTGGTTCATCATCTACCACTTTCTATTTACAAATGTAAAAAAAAAAAACCAGACACCTAAGGTGAAGAAAAGAAAAAAAAAAGAAAGAAAAGAAGAGATGCAAAGTCTCTCTCAAGCTTGCCTAGGAAATATAAAAAGAGAGAGAAAAAAAGGGTTGTTTTGATCAGCCAAGAACTGGAAGGATTTGATGCTCTCCTACTGCTACCATTGCTAAACAACTAATTTTTAGTATGCTGCTGCTGATGGTGATGATGACGATGATTAATGGCGGATTAATTGGATGCTCTAATCTCTTCCTCCCTCTTCCTTTCCCTTTCCTTTTTCTTGCGAGCTGATGAGCTAAAAAAAGCTAAGAACGGCGCGGCGATCTGTGCGAGCTAGCTGCCGGCGGCGGTGGGCTCCGTCCATGGCGAGGGCAAGAAGGGCTCGTCGGCGATGTCGAAGAGGGAGGACATGGGGGTGCCATCCAATGCGGCGTTGTCGTCGCCGCCGTTGAGGAAGAGGAGCTCGTCCTCGCCGGCCATCTCCATGTCCTCCACGAGCAGCTCTTCCTCCTCCTCCTCCTCCTCGTCCTCCTCCATGGACGGCGTCCGCAGCGGTGTGGTCGGGGAGAGCCCCGCCGCCTCGGCTCCACCACCCCCGGCGCCGACCACCACCACCGACGGCGGCGGCGGCTGGGGCTGCGCGGAGGCGGCGGAGGCGGCGGAGGAGGAAGGGAGCTTGTTGCGGGTGGTGCCGGCGAGCGAGTTGCGGTGGGTGGGCGCCGAGTGGTTGTGCTCGCCGGTGTAGGTGAGGATGAAGGTGTTGGGGTCGGAGCGGCTCCTCTCCACCTGCTTCCTCGCCGGGCACCCCTTCGAGCTACTGCACCGGTAGTACCCCCTGTTGCAACAAAACCATAGCTCCGGTGAGCTTTTCCTTCCATTTCACGGCGGCGCCGGCGAGAGAGAGAAAGAGGGGACTGACCTTGGGTAGGGTGAGCCCTTGATGGGCTTCTGTCCGTACTTCCGCCACGCCCACACGTCGGCCGACACGCCGTCCGCCGGCACGTGCCGCACCACCTTCTTCTGCTGGTTCTTCCTGGAGCAACGAGAGCAGAGTTTAGCAACTCGGAATTAATAGAATTAATCTTTTTTGTCGGATTGATTAGGAAGGAGATGAGGAGTTCAGCTGCTGCCATTTCTGGCGAGGTGAAAAAGAGAAGCTCGCTCACCTCCTCTTGGATCTAGGCACGCCGCCAGCTGGCACCTGCCTCGCCGCCGCCGGCTGCGACGCCCTCGCCGGAGCCGTCGTCGGAGCCGGTAGATTCTCCTGCACCGTCACCGGTTTCTGCTGCTCTGGCTGCGGCTGCGTCGGAGGAGGAGGAGGAGGCGTCGGCAGAGGCGACGACTTCGACGAGGAAGAAGAAGGAAAGGCGGCGCAGAACGCCTTGAGGAGCTCGTCGGCGTCGCGGCCGAGCCCGCCGCCGCCGCCGTCCCTGACCGTCAGCTCCGGGAAGCTCCACGCAGCCTCCACCCCGACCTCCTTCTCCGCCGCAACCTCCATCGCCACCCCCTGCTGCAAGAACGACGCGAACGGATCCACCTGCTGCGCCACCGCCGCCGGAGAGATCCTCCGTCGGCAGCAGCCGAGGCGGACGACGGCGTCGAGGTCCCAGTTGTTGCCGCAGAGCTCCTCCTCCATGGCCGTCGAGAAGAAATCAAGAAAATCCTCAAGAGGAGGAGGTGGTGGTGGTGGTTTCTTGGGCTCTAGAGAGGAGATAAGAGGGAGGCGCTGACTTTTGCTAGTTTATTGATTGATTTGGAAGAGAGAAGGAGACTATGGGAAAGGGTAAAAGGAGAGAGAGAGAGAGAGGAGGAATGGTGGTGATGGCATTGGATCCTGCCCTAAAAAGGAGTGAGGGCTACTGGTCTATTTTCTTGGGTTTTTTTTTCTTTTTCTTCTTGGAGGGAGGCTGGTTTTATAGGGGTGTGGGGGCAGCACACCCCCCACTTGACTCTGCAGCATGTCAAAGGGGTGAGAAAGGGGATACTCCATGGGTGGGAGGGGTATAATGGGAAAAGCTCACTGTGATTTTTTTTGGACTTTTCTTGGAGAAAATGTATACCTCCTGTATTGGATTTAAGAAAATGGGAGGTGATCAGTATATTTGGGAATGTGTTTTGTTCTGAGGTACAAATAGGCACATAAAGAAAAGCACACTTGTATGGTATTTTTTGTCGCTTTTCACATATGCAAAACTGGATTTTATATGCACACTAGAATTAAAGCTCAAATGATTCCTGGCTTCTAAAGCATGGGAGTAGTTGCTTCTTCTTTTTTTTTTGTTGAAGGTGCATTTCTATGTACCTATGGCTTATTTTGGATTTTGTTCCGATACACCGTGAGAGCGTGTGGAGTCAATATTAGGAATAAACTCGAGCTGCCTTGCTAGTTATTGCCAGCTGAGTAAATTCTGATTCTCCAAATCTGTTTTGTTTTGCTCTATTAATTAGCTAGGCTGGATTTTTTATACGAGCTACCTAGGCTGAATAAAAAATGTGTTCTACTAACTAAATACAATCTATGTGAGATATATGTAGATTTACATCTATGCGCAAATGAACCCGCACTAGAATTTTATAAGGCCCGACTCGAATGGGTTGGACTTGACTCTAAAGGTAACCCATCTCGAAGGATGTCCCCGGAAAAAGAATTACATATTAGTATCAGGACTAATAATAATGTAAGTTAACAAAAATGGTACTATTTGATTGAAAAGGAGGGGTGCGCTTGTTTGCTGACGAGAACACATTGATGTCGGTCAGTTTTTTGCAACTAATTTTTATTTGGTTCATGTCGTATTGTATATACAAAAATAGACTGTCTATACACACCTTACCTAAAAATTGTTATAATACATGCAAATGCTGGATATATTGGCTATTTGATTGGCTAGCTATTTTTTCTCCTTAGTTATGATCTGATCAATAATAACTACTGTTTGGTTCACAAAACATGCCCATGATATTCTCAATTTCTGGTAAAATGCATTGGCAAATGGAATGAGCTAGACAAGAGGGGTCTAACAGGACACTACACCTTCCATGCTACATTAATTAGAAAATTTGATTTGGGTGTACACACCTTCACAGTCGGCGAATGTACTAGAAGCACGTTATCTAAAAATGGGACATGCCACATGAGATTGTTTTGCAAATCAGTGCTCCAGTTCATAATATTAATTAACCAATATACATACACCATCAACACATTAACATAGTTAAACTAGTCATGTCCCATTTATTATAGAGTTTAATTAAAACTAGGAAGGTAGCCCGCGCATACGCGCAGGCGTGTTGTTTAATCTTGTTTGCACTTTTATTACGAATGTTTACGTGTGGATCATATTTTTGAAATATTTTTTTGACTCTATTTTAAACGTATGTTCAATAACTGGTTTGGGCGTATTACTTGAAAATGTATATCCTCAAATTTATTAAAAAAATGTCACAATAATGGAGTTAGTTCATATCTATTTGTATTATGTGTGATTCTTCCTTTTAAATTTTTGGAGTTTCCCAACTTTATATAACATTTTTTATTGTGTATGTTATAGATGACTTTAAGTAACATTTTAATTTTACTATATATTAATGAAAGATATTTTCTATTAAAAATATAGCTAATAATACTACTTCATCTAATCAAACATAAACTTATATTACTTATATTACCACCGTCACGTAAATCGAAGGAGTTAACTTTTATCCCAAAATAATAGAAGAATTTATATGTAACTAAGAGAAAGTGATTTTTTTTAAATACTATCACGATAATCCAAAGTACGGTATCATACTTTGACAAATATCTATAGGGTAGTGCATGTTAGTTCAGTGTCTGTTTTGTTTATAACACCTATTGTTCTAATCACATGAGACACCTTTAGTAATTTGGTTAATACATATATATACTTAAATTAGCGTTATATATTCGTCAAGTGGTTTCTTACACTAAAATGTGATGTGAAATTATTATCATAACATTAATTATTACATGTCGACTCCATATTTGTGATGTATTTAGGGTTATAGATATTAATAGTTTATTTATTTAAAGGAATACAACTGAATCACAAATTGGATATATAATTTTAAAATAATTTAAAAGATAGAACGCTTAAAATAGGATATTTATATTTACATTTGTGTAAATTTGAATATTATTATATTTTATCCTTAAATTGTTTTTTAGGTATTATCCTTAAATTGTAGAAAAATCTTTTTTTAAAGACTTCCGATTGTTTTACTTTATCATAAGTACTTTTTTTTGTCCTTCCGTCAGATGATATGTAAGCATTATTGTTTTTTTTTCAATTATCTGTACGTACGGAGTACTTTTCTGGTCAACAGTTATATAATTTTCATGTATCCGTATATAGGAGAATTGTATTATTTGTCAATAATAAATCTAATCTAATTGTGAAAAATGAAACAACTAAATTGTGTTGTTTTCATTTTTACAAATATAGATTTAAATTAGTGTTGTATATTCGTCAAGTGATATTTGACACCCTAAAATATGATATGAAATAAAAAAATACCATAGCATTAATTATTATATATATTAGTCTTGTATGTTAAGATAGAATGAATAAAGATCATTGATGGGATATTTCATATTTATAATATAAATTTAGTTTAACCACGTATATTTACATAAATTTGTAGAGCAATATATTTATCTTCAAATAGTAGATAATACTATTTCAAAAGACCATCGATCTTTTTTCCAATGATACACATTTTTTTCCGTGATTTTGAAAATACTATTTCAGAAAACCACTGTAAATAATATTTTTCTTGGTTCCCAGTAGGTAAACTTCATTTCTTTTCCCAGGTCATATGCACGTACTGACTACTCCCTCCGTTTCACAATGTAAGACTTTCTAGCATTGCTCATATATTAATAAATCTAAACGCATATATATGTCTACATTCATTAACATCTAAATGAATATGGACAATGCTAGAAAGTCTTATATTGTGAAACGTAGGAAGTACTTATATTTCCCGTATACGTATATAGAGTAATAGGGTGTTTTTAAAATAAAATACATCTAATCTAGTGGTCTAAAATATTGGGTTCACCAATTTAAGTGAAAATCGACGGTGATATTTGCTTAAATTTATAGAGTAATAGATTTTATATTTAAATAGTAGAAAACTCCATTTTTAAAGATAATTGATTTTTTAATGGTACTATGTATGTATATTTTTTTAGCTTTATTGTTTTCTATAGTAAGTCTGTGCATAGTTTTTTATTTATAAACAGTAGGTAAGATTGATTGTTTTTAGTATTACGTATGTACGTACCTATATGGAGTATATACTTTTGTTTTTTTTCTTTTTCTGGTGAACAGTAAGGTATTAGTTTTTAAAATAAAATACATCTAATCTAATGGTTTAAAATATTAGATTCACCAATTTAAGTCAAAATCGACAGTGATATTTGCTTAAATTTATAGAGTAATAGGTTTTATCTTTAAGTAGAAAAATATCTATTTTAAAAATAATCGATTTTTTCATGGTAGTACGTACGTACTTTTTTTGGCTTTATTGTTTTTTTTATAGTAAGTCTCTGTGTGTAGTTTTTTTTAAAGTAAATTTCACAAAACTACATATACTTTGACCACAATATCGGAAAACTACAGATTTAACACTAATTTTATCACAAAACTATAGATTTAAGGTAAAATATCGCAAAACTACAGATTTAGTAATACTGTTATCACAAACATACAGGTTTAATGTCAATTTAATCACCAAACTTAGATATTTATAACTCAAACATAACATTAGTGCAAAGGATTTAAATCCTAAAATATGTAGTTTTGTGATAATTTTATTCTAAAATATGTAGTTTTGTGATACTTCGTCTTAAACCTATAGTTTTGTGATAAAATTGTTACTAAATCTGTAGTTCTATGATATACGGCCTTAAATATGTAGTTTTGTGATAATTTGGTCAAAGTATCTGTAGTTTTGTGAAATTTACTCTTTTTTTTTCTTACGATGAACAGTAGGTAAGATTATTGATTGTTTTTTAGTCTTTAGGTACTACGTACGTACCTATATATGGATATATGGAGTACATGTGCTTTTGTTTTCTTTTTTGGTGAACAGTAAGGTATTTGTTTCTTTTTAAATATATAATAATACATTTAATCTAATGGTCCAAATTATTGGGTCACCGATTTAAGTGAAAATCGACGGTGTGATTATACATTGCCACGTGGTGGCTTAAAAACGTTTGTAGAAGTGACACGTGACGATTTAAAAGCGTTTATATAAAGTTTAATGGACTTTTAGTATATAATAGATAATGCAAACGGCGAAACCACACGAAACAGGGCAATCGGTGCACGTTTAATTTAATCACACACCCCATGCACGTCGTCAATGTTTTTCTAAACACAATGGGCCATGGGGGGCAGGCCATGTGTCCAATAATTTCGAATTATAAATTCGTAATTCCATCAGCAAGCTTAAATTTAAATTCGTGATGGCATGTCGGCGATCGATGGGCTTCATTAATTAGGACCCCAAAGATCGATAATAAATAAACGCATAGAAAAAAAATACTACTAAATGAACCTGACACGTTATCAGTTATCACAAGTTGAACGGAATTTCAACAGCCAGACACGGACTCGACACTGTTCTTCACCTCCTGCAAGGTCAAACCCGTTGCACGTTGTGCTCCCCCAATCCGTATTTGACGTTGACCGGTCAGCTTTAACGGAGGTCGGAACGGCTTACCGGGGGAGCCCGCACGAATCTCAAAGCCGCGTGGAAATCGGGCCGCCGATACCGATACCGGTGGCGTTTTTGCGTACGGAGGCAGACACGTGGGGTCTGTACCCTTGGGCCCACGTGTCAGTGGGTGGTGTGGCTGACTCTGGGTGTG